AAAGGATTCACGTCTAAAATAACATGACTACGAGGCATGAATAGGACATGACAATAGCAATTCTTGGTTAGGAATGGAAAAAAAATCAAGTGATCTCACTTCCTGAACATCTCTTTTGCTACCCCAACTCTAACAGCAGTAACGTATTAGAAAGCTGCAATGTTACTACATGGAAGGGTTTGTACAGATAAGACAATTAAGATCCCCCAAAGCTTCCACATTTCTGAATCATTCTTCTCTTCTTCCAAACTGGAACTAAAATTCAGAAGCACGAATTTTCACGTGGAACATAAATTTTCAGAAACGTCTGTAGGCAAAGCTGGCCAGCAAATAGCCGGCTGGCCAGGGTGGAAGTCTGCCTGCTTTCCCACGAAAATCTCATCACACTGATATATTCCCATCAAGTGTTTTCATTCAGCTCAATCAGCATTTTCCAACAGTAAGCTGCTATATCAAAAACATTTCTGTCAGCTTAACCAAGGGGTGTTGTAAAAGCCAGAAACTACTCATCATGTAGGGAAATTTATCCACTAGGCCAAAGACTCCCACCCTCAAAGACATAATATAAAGGAAAATCAATATGCCTGTCACCTTTCTCATTACTTAGTCACTTAGATGAATAAAGACAGACGCATACTTAATAGCAAATGTAAAATCGTACCTATGTGGTAGAGTCATAAGTAACACAGGCTAGGGATGAAATCCTGGCACCAATTAAGTCAAAGACAAAACTCACATTGACGTTAACAAGGTGCGAAATTTGTCCTTGCATTGCAAGGAAGAAAAAGAAAAATCAAGAAAAGCGATAACCATCCCAATACACAAGATTCAAAATTTTAAGCAGATTTTTCTACCCAAGATTGCAGGCTCCTTTGATACACAGTTTTGAGGTATCATTAGAGTGGATATATTTGTTTAATTTGACTACTTGCTATATTTTATAATGCATGAAATACACTTTTTCACTCCTTTGAGAGGATTATTTGCAACATAATGCTTCCCTAGACTGCCAGGCTCCCCTACTGCCCAATAAATTGAAAAACATCAAAAGGAATCATTTATCACTGTCTGTATTTATATTTACTACCAATGTGAATACAAAAAGCACATTAGATCATCCTTACGGTTGACATAGCCAACAAAAAAAGGGATAACACATAGAAATCATAAGTTGTTTAAAAAACACCTGCAACACATGAAAATGTTTGAGAATAAAACCAACTGAAACAAAACCACTTACGAAGTTACACCTTATCCAAAGTTCAATATGAAGCATATAAAATATTTGTTTATCATAACTGTCACTGTAGATGCTCTTGGATCTCTAAACAGCAGTAAACCATATGTTCTACATAATAAGTGAATTACTACAGGTTGGGAAAGTGGGACTAAGTGGTTCTCCCCCAGTTCTCCATCTATTAGGATACTTTCTCTGCAAGACAGACAACTACTGGCCTCTTCCAGGTCTAGTAGCAACTTTTTCAGCGAAGTCTGCAAATCCAGTATTTCACTGCTAGTAGTGCACTTTGAAAGAAAAATAATGTGCTGACCAGCTATCTGATCTACAAACTAAGGTTCATCTCTAAATTCAGAATAAAAGTTAGTTCTCTAATCAGTTTAGTTCAGGATTTTTTATTGACCTTACCTCAGCATGTGTCCCCTTCTTAAAGCACTCAGGATAGCTAATATTAATCCATCGTTAAGAACTGATTTTTGTACTCTAGCGTCCTTACTTCTGTGACAGAAGACATTGTTTTTTCATTTTCTCTCAATTATTTCTGAAGATGATAATCTTCTTCTACCTCAGAGTATCAAGTGCATCTCAGCACTCCACCCCATTAGCTTCCACAGAGCCAGAAGCTGCTAAGACCTCTGGATAATGAACAAACATAAACTCCACGTTTTCAAGTATTTTAAGAGATATCAATACAGAGGGAGCAGCAAAGCACCACAGACATACAAATGATATATCTCACAAAATCACTTTTTCTGTAAACAACAAAGCAGCAACAACTTTGTTAAAAGCTTTCGGAGCGAGGGCACGTTAAGAAATCCAGGTTGTGATGTTCAGTTCTAGAAGCTGTGCTCTCTTAGCCTTCCCAGGAAAATGGGAAAATGCAAAATGTCAAACTGTCTGGAGCATACTCCAGACTGCGTGGGAATGGCATTGAGGATTGACAAAAGCATCTGACAGAGACTGTACTTAGGTGGTCAAACCTTGCAACAGGTTGCCCAGACAAGCTGTGCAATCTCCATCTGTCTTTTGCATATTCCAAACCCGACTGGAGACAGCCTGGGGCACCTGGCTCTGGCTGACCCTGCCTGAGTGGTAGGGTTGGACAGGGCAGTCTCCAGAGGTGCCCTGCAGCCTCAGCCATTCTGTGACAATTTATACTTACACACACACAGGCGAGTGAAACAGCAGCACTGGTGGAAACTCTTTTATTATAACCTACGAAAA